CCTGAAGCCAGTTAAGAACTAAACTATTACAATTAGCCCTGTAGATTAGATTCAGTTTGCAGTTGGGGTTTTTTGTGTGTTTTTCCCATATAAAAATCAATTTAACAAAACTGCTAGTACTGGCACACCAATTGATCTGTTCTCGGATAATAATATTCCTCTTTTTGCAGTTCTGAAGCTGAACGATGTTTCGTCGCTGAGAAATCAAACTGCCATAACACAAAATTTACATTCTCCTCTTACAAAAAACAATCAAAACAAACATGTAAATAACTTTGTTTTCCTTCCAAAAACGAATTAGCCATTAGACATACAATACAATTACATAGATACATATTTTCAATACCGCACATTCAATCCGCCAGAAAACAAACAAACAAAACAAATAAAAACAACAACAAAAAAAGTAATGATTAAAAAGCCAACAAAGATGCTGCAATATATATAGAGAGAGATGTATGTACAATGATTATAGCATTCATAATTGCACTATGCCTCAATAAATGTTAATTACAGGCTTATAATCTAGGGAAGTGTTACGAAAGAAATAAAAAAAAAAGTACTCAAAGTAAGTCGGGGAATGAAGGATTGCAGATCAGAAATGCCAATTAGAAACAAGAAGGACTCACTTTGGTACAACTGAACGTCGAGACTTTACCTTTCACACAGGAACTAGCCAGATTTACTCTCCACTGCTATTCAACTACAACAGTCAAGACAGCCGGGCTGTGATTGGACAATTACAAAGATACAGCTAAAATGCGACTCGATAAGTCTGCAGGCTGGCGCGGGCTTGGAGGGAGGGGCCTGCAGCCCACGGCGCAAGGTTGTGATTGGATAATTTTAGGCAGTTCAACGCGCCGGGTTTAGCTACGCCGGTGTAGCTGCCCCTTCTTTCAGAACCCACGAGCTCGCTGTAGCTCAGGTCAGTCCATGCTGGGTCGGTGTGTCGGGGGTGGGAAGAATACCGCAGATTGTGTTGAACACTTCAAAAAAATATGAAATAAATGTATTTTTAAAAAAAAGAAAGAAAAGAAAACCTCCAGGGTCGATACGTCGGGTCGGTAGAGTCAGTGTTTGTTAGCCCTGCTCTTTCCTGTCTGCAACACTTTTCATTTCAGTGAACAGCTGTGGAGTCTGGGCCTCTGTCCCTCTCACTCATTCACTCTTTTTTTGGCATTTGGTAATAAATATACATGTTACCATAATAAAAAGCGTTAATGTGGCACAGTTGAACGTAATCATTTAAACATATCGTCTGATAAATTATTACCTCCTCGGCTCCCTTCAGTTTGTGTAAAGTGACCGCTGCCATGGTTCATCTTTACACGACAAAGCAGAAGTCCCTGTGTGCTTCCCCACTTTGTTGCTCAAAGCTTTTTTTCCTTCTTTTTTTTTTAATTTTCAAAGCCTTTTTCACTCACATTTCTCAACTGAACGGTTCTATCGACAGCTGAAAACCCATGACACGACCGTCACTTGACACACGACTTGGGTTGTTCCCTCCAAACACATGCTCGACTCACTGAATGGCACCAAAAGCCAATGCAAAGTAAGATTAATAAAGATCTAAGCCACTCGCATATATTAAATGAATTTTAAATCATTTTAAAAGAGATCACAAATTCTGCCTACTCATCAAAAGACTTGCCAATCAGTCTATCAGATTAAAAAAATAAATTAAAAAAATGAAGCCATCTAACTCATCACTCCCTGCTGGGCAAACAGGTAAACGCCCGTGATGAAGCTTCAGAATGAAACAACAGGTAAGGAAGAAGGCTAAAAAAAAGGAATTCAAACTTTTTTTTCTTCTTCTTTTTTTTATAAAAAAGGCAGGAGGGACAGAAACACACTGCATTCATTTGAGCGCCTTCCACCCAACCCTCGCAAATATCCTGTCCCCACTTTTTCATCACTTCTTAAATAGCAAGATAACATTTACTTCGCTCACCCCTCGAGGAGTCAAGAGATCAGCAGACAGCAAATAAATTAGTATTATGCAACCATTAGATTTTTTTTTTTTTAAATGTGTGTGTGTATATATGATCTATCTTTTCACAGATTGCGTCAGTCAGTGTGTGCTGAGGGCCTGCAGTCGGAACACCCTGCTCCGCCCTGCTCTACACCAGGTTGTACTCCTTTAGGTTGAGCTGCAGGATGGTGTCTTTGACGGCTGCAAAGACGAAACGGATGTTCTCTGTGTCAGTGGCGCAGGTGAAGTGAGAGTAGATGATCTTGTCGCTGTCTGGATTCAGGTCCACAAACATCTTGAGGATAAACTCTCGCCCTGCTTGGGCATCCCTCTGCGGACCTGCATGGGGGAATATCGTGGATCAGTATATATGCACAGCTATAAATTACTACGGCTTGTTTATCATTCATAATATCAGTGTGGAGATCCTCCATGTTTTTTTTTTTCATGGTTTTTCACTGCCATACTTGTTGGATCATTCCAATTTACGCACCACGACTGTATCTCAGGTCTGCCAGCCGAAGATTTTTATTTGCCCTAGAGCTCAAGCTAAAAACATTGTGGAGCTTCAGGTAGTACTTAGAAAACTTTACTCACTGCAGTATAGCGACGTGCCCTCAAATCTCTACCTGTGCACATTTCACATTATGTGTTAATTGGTACACTTTGTTTTTTTTTTAAGCTCTACATGTATGTGAGTGATGCTGAGTCAATGGCAGGAGCGCAAATTACTGATCTTATAAGTAAGTTTCTGGTGCAAAAAACTACAAAGGGCAAAATTCAAAGCAAATACTGTTACATTTTCCCAGAAGAAATGTTTGCACGGAATGCTTCACTTATAGTCAACACTTCTCTTCTGTGGCTTAATTATTTGGCTCACCCCAAACTAACAGATATACATAAGAAAGAGAATATCATGGGGCAACTAGTTAAGCTTCAGTCTAACATCATTTTCTTTTCTTTCTAAAGCTGCACACTTTAAAATACCAAAGCTATGAGCTTTGAATGCTGTAACACTTTCACAATTAGTCCATGGTGCACAGTGCATGGCAAATGTGGTAGCGTAGTACACTGTTTGCTATAATGCTGTCAAATTATGTATGACTAATGTAAACAAGCTGTCACGCTGAAGGCATTTTTCCATCAACTCTCCGCACTGCTTGAAGTCTTATATTTGATCCAAGACGTTGTAATCTGTTAAAAATCCCCATTTACAAATGTTTGTGCTCAAAGTTACATTTACAGTTAGAACGATCTGTCAGATACAGAGTTAGAAATAGCACCAATGATGCAGTACGTGAGAAACACTCAATGCTTTTGTCATTGTGACCAATCATAGCTGGCCTTTAAATAGACAGGAACTAATGTGGAGCAAGAATTACATATTAAATCTGTTCTAGTGCACTCCAGAAATAAAATTATGACCTTGTCATTAGCACAAAAGGGCCACTTTAAAGCACTTGAAATCTCCATCACTTGATATCGAGTTTGAAATATTTTTTCGGCATTTATTTCCTTAAATCAAATATGTGTAATAAAAAAAAATGACAAAAATAGCAGAGATTACTCTGATACATTAAAAGCTGTGTATCAGATATTATACTGTAAGCAGAAATTTCCTGCCATGGTTAACAAACTAGTTCTAATGGACCCCCAGTCACACTGGCATGGAGAGCTGTCAATGACCCCCCTTGACAACCACCGGTCACTGGGTGGTGAGCAGTTACTAGCAGTGGCTAGGTGAAAACGGTTGTAATGAGGTGTAGATGTTATACCGAAAACCTTGTCATTGCTTTGCAGGTTTCCACGGCCGTCTGTAGTTTCCATAGAGGACGCCGACTTATCTGCAAAAGCTTGGCATTTACTTGCTGAGTGATACTGAAACTATGAGCACAGCTCAGACAGGAAATCAAGACTGTTTGCCTTCAAAGTAAAAGTCTGAAAGCAAGTTGGTTGCAGTGATGAGGCACTTTTACTTTGGAGACTAACAGCCTCTATTCCCAGTTCGAATCACACTTGTTTCCAAGTTTTACGACTGCTCTGCAAGTGTTTCTACATCTATGAACATCTGTTATTGACCGACGCAATCAACAGGGCCCCTTGGTGATTTATTTCACCTAGCTACCTCCGCCACTTCTCACCATCCAGTCGGGGACTTCACATCTTTCCATCCTGACTGGAAGTTGCTGCGTGACTGAAGCCTAACAAAAATAATGGCACAGCAGGTGATCTGTGAACATGTTTCAGAGTTAAACAAAACATGACGTCTTTACTCAAAAACACCTCGACAGTCTTGATTTTGGGGCTTCGCGTAAGCTCTGTCAGTGTTTTGGTACGAGCACTCTTCAATCATTCAACACTCACCATCATACTCTGGGAAGTAGTCAACCAGATGAGAGTACATAATCTTCTCCTCCAACAGGTCCTTCTTGTTGAGGAACAGAATGACTGAGGAGTTTTGGAACCAGGGGTATGTGATTATTGTCCTAAACAGAGCTTTACTCTCCTCCATCCGGTTCTACACAGAGTATATGTGAATGGGAGGGGGCAGAAGGACAGAAATAAAGAAAGAAAACAGAGAGATAGTTAGTCTCTTAATTAAAAACCAGTCCTTCAACCTGATTAAGTGCAGATTTTAATAACCGTTTCACGGCACCAGAGGGAGAGCAGTAAAGATGAGAGAGTAGGGCAATCATGTTTTTAATTTCTCCCTCGCGCTTCATTTCAAGCAACCCTTCTCATAGCGAGTCTTACACCTCTCAGTGCTGCTGTTTATCAAAAGCACAAAGCAGAATGCTTTATTTTATATTATATAATAAAAACTATCTAATGCTATTGGATTATAAAGGTCGTGAAGCTGGTCAGTCTTCTACTTTCACAATATGCAGGCAAAAAAAAGGAGGAAAACAGATGGGCGCGAGAAAAAAAACAAAACAGCAACAGACAACACACATATGAACGCACACCTGCTCATTAATACACTTAAAAAAAAAACCCTGACACATCGATTCCTCTTAAGAAAGAGACGTGGCCTTAGGCGGCATTCAAAACAGCTGGCTGATCATTTACAAGGGAAAAAGAGCTGGAGCACCACCGAGCAGCCCGAGAACCTGATTTCCATTGTTTTAAATAGGGAAAGCTTTTATCTTTACAAACAACTAATCTCCTATGTCACATGAAATAAGGATTTTCAAATGGGAATTTATGAGAGCATCCTTTAAACCATTTAATCTCTCGGTAGTTTGGTGAAATTTCTCTTGGTCTTTCTAAAAAAATAAAATAAAAGGACAAATCACCTCGTTATCCGACTCCACCAAAACTTGGTCGTACTCGCTGAGGGCTACCAGGAACATGATTGACGTGACGTTCTCAAAGCAGTGGATCCACTTCCTCCTCTCTGACCTCTGACCTCCGACATCCACCATCCTGCCATGGCAGGAGAGAGAACAACGTCACCGTAAGCACAGGGAGTGTCTGTGTGGTTGTCCTTTTGACTTAATCCCCTTGATGCAGGTTGTTTAATAAAGGGAAAGCCCAAGACAAATCAAATGTGATGATGCCATTGACCACTTCTGAATCAGATATTCAGTGGATTTCAATCAGATTATTAACATAAAATAATCAGGAAAACATCTGATAAACTTAAAAGGCGAACCTGCGAGTCCATTACGTATCGAGTATAGTTTAATACCTGCATTAACAAAGCACAATATTCTTTTTAAATATTTTATAAGCTTATCAAACTCCTTGCATATAAAATATTAATCCCCAGTCTTACTTGTAAGTATAACCATCAGATGATGTGCACCTCTTTCTAAAGGCAGTAGAGTCCACAGGTTACTTGAGCGTCTTCAGACTCTCACAGAGTGAGTGCACTCATGTATTCTCGCTGCATTGAGAGCCCATCTCGAAAACACTTTGTTTACTTTCATTTCCTTTCCTGAGGTCAGCTGATAGCTCCATCAAGTTATTAAGATATTCTAACAAAGTCACACAACACCATTTCAGTGAACAGTGGTTGTGCTTTTGTTATACATAATGACACAGCACTGCATTTTCACTTTTTAAATAACAATCCGATCTCACCTGAATATGACACTCTGCAGGTCAAATGGGTATTCAATAATGCCTGTGGTTGGAACTCGAACCCTCAACACATCCTGCTGGGTGGGAAGGTAGGCTGGCTCAGCGATCCGATCCAGTGCGTTCAGGTAACTGAGGAGGCAGGCAGTAAAAACAATCCAGCACCTCACAGACACTACAAATCGCTTTCCTGAGATCTTTTAGAAATCTGTTGAACAGTTTGACGCCCGTTTCCTGAACGGCCGTCGGCTGTACTCACTATTTAGTAGAGTCCGAGAGCTGGTATTCCCGCCTTCGATCGTAACACTCCTGGATGCCCGGGTCGTTCCATAAGCTCTTGATTGCATCGACGTAGGGATTCTCAAGCTTGTTGATCTTCTCTACATCTACCTCTCTCACTATGCTGGCGTGAGCCTGGTGGAAAACAGAAACTTAACTTATCAAAACTTTATCAAGCATTCAGTATCTCTCACACATACACACAGAGACACACAAATTAATCACTGCACAGGTTACACAGTCCTAATTATCACTGGTGTATTTTCTGCTCTCACTCGCTTATTCTATATGCAGAAATTTCTTAGCACCCCGGGGCTCAGCATGGACCTAATATCTGAAGCACAAATCCCACTGGGCCTATTAAGCGGAAAGTTTTGTCGGCCCAGATTCCCACAGCAGAGTTGTGTGCTATGGCAAGAGATCAACACGTGACTGAATGTTGAAGTGTTGAGCAACAGTGCAGCACAGCTACTCCTGATGATTAGGACGGATACGTAATGTTAGCATTGTGTATGTCATGCATGGGTGCTTCCATAAGTGTGAAATGGGGAGGCATTGAATCTGAAAATTCAATCATAAGTGAAATACAGAAACAAAAAACTTAAAAACTATTCAGATTTTAAGATGAACAGACCTTCTGCCTCCATCAACGTGAGTTAGGACTTGATGCACATTTTCCTCAAGCAACTGGAGGTTGCCAGATCCCACTCAAGATGGTGATGCAATGTGCTAATAAATGCTTGTAATACAAGATATTAAATTTGTTTAATTTTACTGTGTGGTAAATGTAAATATCAGTGCCTCACATTTCCTTTTTTACTTTACTAACTGTAAACAGGGTAAAAATAACAGAACAAACCACTGAGGTACATGGGAGGGATCCATTTTTCTAAATTTAAATTGTATTGTTTTTCCATATGTAATATGGACAAAAACCTCCATAAAAGAAGTGGGGTTAGACGTCTTTTAAACAAGGGAGCTCAATTAAAGCAGTAGTACCTTAAAACTGCATTTGTCTCAATGGCCACCAGGGGGCGAGGCGTGTGATTGTAAATACTTTTCTGGTCTCATAAAGAACAGCTCTCCGACTCGAACTCTGTAAGCACTTTTCCGGTTTACAGCCGCAATCATTTATTTCAGGTCACATTAAATCAAAAAATTTGTTCATTTTGTAAATTTTGGTCATATTGTGTTTTGGAAATAAGGATTTTCTGGGATATACTCACTGGCTAACAACTCATGACTGACAATCAGTCAGTTTCAGACTCGCTCCTTAAAATTCAGTTTCTAAACCAAATGGAGACTACAAAAGAAGGTCATCCAGAGGCTTCAAAGTGGGACACATGTTCATCAATTATATTGTCTACAGTGGCTTTAGCCCCACCAGTGATGTAAAGAATAGATTTACTTTTAACTTTGCAGTTGTCATATTTATTTGGATAAAACCATTCAGCAAGTTCCTAAATCTAATATGGCTGAGTAAATCTTTTGTGATGACACAGATATGAGTCAGTGCATTCTAACTGAAGACTGAATTCCTGATTGTGAAAAAAAAAAAAAGTTTGTGCAGTAGCAGACACACAAGAATGCCTGTCAATAAACTGCACGTGATACTCATGAAGATAAGGGTAAACAGTACTTGGACACAATCAGAAAATAGTGTCCTTGCTTACAGCGATTGTGTGATTGACTGTAGAACTGGCAGATTGAAAACATAAATAAAGCCACAGAACAAGTCTTTTTACCAGCAGATTAACCACTCGTGCTGAACCTTTACGAATCAGTGACCGTCTACATGCAGACACAGCATGACCTTTTTCTTAACCTGCCACTACAAGCCTTGAAGTCCAGCACAAACACAGTTTCTGTTTTTAGTGTGGATCACCTAGTGTGAGACAGAGTTACAGTACATGACTGAGACGTGCATACATCGGACATGTGAAGACTGGGGTCTGAAGATTGAGGCCTATTTAAAAGGGTGGGCCTGAAAGACTGTGAGAGTGACATTTACTATAAAAGCCCAGAAAGACACTGTAAACACAATTGATGGGTTTCATTTTCACTTCCCTTGTGATGTCAGTCAATTCTTTTGTCAAGGATAAAATACTTCCCATTTTACCCGTATGTATATGAGAGTAGAGGGATGTTGGGTACAAATTATGACACGTTACACGGTTCCATTGTGCACATAGCTCTGATTTCATTAGACAGTCAGTTCTACCCTTTAGTACAGGTCCTAAAAGACTTTTACATCAACCTCAAATTGACTGTTACTATAAATTAGATGGCGGATGTGCAGTGTGCAAGACATGGCGGTAAACTGGAATGAGAACTGTACAATGAACCAAATGCTTAGGAAGAAATTTTGAAGCAGAAACCCACCTGCATTTAGTTTCATAAAAATAGATCATAAAAGCATTATATTTATTCAGCATATTCTGAATTATAGTGTTTAAAGTGGGCAAAATAATGGTGAAAATGCATAACTGATATACCACAATCAGTTTCATTCCTCATGAAAATGCACACACGAGACGGGAAGTGAAAACAGCCGTGCACCACATCTGCATAAACATGCACGGCTGCGATGTCATTTTAAATCTCGCAGGTTGCACTGATTGTCATATAATGTGCGCTTGGTCGACAGCAGTGGCTGGGCTCCTCGCTCGTTACAGTCTGCATGTCTGGGGAAAAGATGTGTTGTTTTGCACTACGAATTTAATGTCTTTAGAATAGCATTGTTATTCAGACTTTCGAAGATTTCCGTGCTATTTCAAAACCGCCAACATAATTGAACAACACGTAGTGGAACCCTCTTACCTGGGTGAACACATCTCACTTTAAAATACAAATAAATGATGCAACTGTGCAATCAGTCAAAAGTTCTAAGCTGTCCAGATCAGTATTAATTATGCAACGCTTAAAGCGGTTCCCAAAAAGAATGCATTGGAACAACTTTGCACCCCTCTAATGGAATGAATGGGATCCAGTGGTCTACTTGCACATCTATTTTAGGGAAATGACAACGCTGATAAAATGGGACAGACCAAAAATGCTCTCACATTAAAGTGCACATTTGGTTTTGTGCATTATGAATAAAACACCTGATTTTAACACTGACATAACAAACACAACATCTCTAAAAAAGGCTTTCATTAAACATCAGCCTGGACTGTAGTCTGACACAGAGAAACTGAAGACCACAGTAGCTGTGCCAAGGTGTGGACTCCTAAGCATCATTTCCTTTAATTTGTCACTTTCACATGGAAGAAACTTTGAGCAAAAACTCCCTGTACCAGTTCCCAAAGCTGTGAACACCAGGGTAACTCCTCTACAACAAAGAGGCTCTGCTGAAGTGTTAAGTACAGAGAGCAAGGTGAAATTTGAGCGAGTAGTGTGGGGTATGGTAGTAGTGTAGAAGCAGGGATGGTGTGCACATATGCATGTGTGGATTTCAAGGAAATATGCAAACACAAATACTCAAAAGGGCGTGATGAGTACTTGAGTGTTTTAAGGACACAGGAAGTCTATAAAAGGACAGGAAATGATTATGGATGGCTGTTACAAATAAGATAGACGGCACTCTAAAAATACTCAAGCACAATGTAACACATCGTAGTCTCTCTCTCTCTCTCTAATTGTTTGACACCATCAACTGCCATTTAAGTTGGAGAACGTGAAAAGCTGGAGTGAAAGAATCCATTTACCTTGTTGTGCTCATACTTGTAGGGGATCTTGAGCGTCTCCATGGCTCGGATCATGGCCTGCATGGACGTGAAGATGTTCTGATAGACCAGCTTGGTGAAGCCCCTTTTGTCCTCATCAGAGTAACCGGCTCCGTGGATAATCCTCATCTGTTTGATAAATGTGCTCTTCCCACTTTCCCCAGTGCCTGAGAAAGTACACAGGAAAAGGGAACACAGAGTTTATTTCTACAGTAGGTTTGTGCAAAGTGTCATTTAACCAGACGACGCGTGTCGTCTCCTGTGTCGGCAGTCATGCTTCTTAAATGGACATTAAGACTATTTTCACTGTTAAAAATTAATCCACTGCTGTTAACTAGAGAAAAAGGCATTAAAACCTTGCAGGGGAGGCTTCTTGCACAGCCAGTGGTCTAAATACAGAACATAGGCGGCACTGATTGTACAACGTCCTTACCATGAGATTGCCATAGCTGTATGGATAGAAAATAAATTTGATTGCACTGCATTTGCCCCATTTATAGGGGCAGAGCTGAAATCCAAGTGCAGATCATAATTAGCTGCTATAAACCAAAGCAAAAAAAAAAAAAAGAAGAGACCCTGTAAGATCCTTACTTGGCTGTCAGAGCGTTTCAAGAGAAGAAAAGAAAAAAAAAATCCATATAGACTTCTGCAGTGTAGCATTTGTTTTCATTGAAAATGACAAAAACAAACTTGTGATGTTGGCATTAAATTCGTTTTTTAAACTACACGCTTCCATTCACATTCCATAATTACCTGTACCCCACAGCAATCCACCCACAGTAAGAAATAAAAACGTTTTTAAAAACGCCGAAGCGCCGCTGTCTAACAGCCTTTTTTATTCAAGCTGCATTATTATATTTCACATCACGGACAAAGATTGAACAAGCAAACAGGCAGGATTACTTTATAAAGTTGTAACAGAGACAGCCTGACATGGAGCAACACAAACTGCTGGTTGAAGACGATATCCATACTCGTGTTGCATATTAAGGAGTCCTCAGTCCTCAAACTTCAGACAGTGCTGGAGGAATCAAGTCGGATACTGTCTGAAATTACCTCTTTCCCAGTATAGCAGACAGTAAGAGATAACCTGCTTCATTTGCTTTAAGTTTACCAACTACTGACTGCTCTACTTTGATATGGACACAACCAGATGGTAAAACCTTTTTACTATGTAGTTTATAAACTGCTTAATATCAAAGCCAAATGTCCATGTTCAGTATCCACCCATGATTTTCTTATGGGTACAAAGCTATTAGCAACCCCTTTTACACTGCCCAGTAATTGGGTCCATTGTTAATGATGAAAAGCTGATTAAAGTAACTATGGTGAATGAAAGGGGATTCTTGCAGAATTACAAACATAAATATGTGTATAGGGATATTTCCTATCCTAAGATGAATCGTGGCTTTTTGCAACAACATCCTGTCTTGGAATAAACATTTATACACCCAGATGAACAGTACATGCACACGGACATACACATATGAACGCATCCACTCATGCACTCACACATATGATATTATGTGCTGGTTACTCTTCCTCCCAGCCTGTTTGCTTAGTCTGGTGATAGACCAAGAACAACATCTCTGTCCTCTCAGCGGTGACAGGAACTATTTGGGTGTGAAGAACTGGGGGTGTGATTTCCCTTTGGTTCATTGAGAATCTTGGCAGACCAGTGAAGCAGTCTTGACTAGTACCTCTTGGATAACTTCAAGAGAAAGGAGTGCACATGTATGTTTTGCATGTGTGCTGCAGTGCATATTAACTGAGCGTCTCTCTTATAGAAGTCTGAATATGCTGCACTTCTTTGTAACAAAAGTGAAGCCAAAGCAGGCTTTCTAGTGTAGTCCAATAGAAGCTTGCAGGGAGGTAGCAATCATTCTCCAAATTAATAAATGTCGCTTTGAGGAAAGGTATTAGAATACATTGTTTTTCCATGCATATTCAACTTAATTTGATGAATACCACAATGCATATGGTTTCTTTTCCACTAAACAAAGCAAAGAAAACCACGTCTGTCCATTTATCCATTTTCTCAACTGCTTATCCAGGTCAGGGTCACAACTGGAGGCTGAAGCCCATCTAAGCTGTAATTGGGTGAAAGGCAAAACTCATACAAGCCTATGCTTCATGATTTAGACTTGGATTTGTATTTGCTGCCCAAACAGCATAGTGTTATTTACCTTGTTGTTCCAGTTAATGACTGGGAGTTAACAATTACAATAACCTAAATAATGGGTAGTAATTCTTTAACTAATTTTAAGAAATAATACATTCAAAACATTTTTTCCTAACACCAGTGAAGTGGGTGACAGAATTAGCACCTCAGAGTCTGAGGTGGGTAGAGTGGATGCTCTGGGTGAGGATCCCAATCGCCAGGCTTGCTCTAGTATGCACTCTCAGTACCTCCTTGGTAAGATGCTTTGGGTGGAGACCCTGCCCGGCCTGCCTGCATGGGAAAGCCCCCAAAGAACTTTAGTGGTGGAGAGTAGTGAGGTCTTGGCAGCTTTTCCTAGCATGCCTAGCTGGATCCATATGAGTGGTAGCAAAATGGATGGATGCTGATGACATCATCCTGGTTGTCACAGAAAAAAAGTACTCTCCTACAAGAATGCTATATTTTTACACACATTACTTCATAGATTTGTACACAATTACTCGAAAAGAAATCATAATCGCTTGACCGCATCTCTGTCTTAATGGATCTTTTCCATTATACCAATGAGTATAACAGGCACTGAAAAAGATAGGGAGACAGCAAATATGCTCTGTATGACTGTCTTCTGGCCATTAGTGGCTGCTGAGTCACGTTTCCAATCGATGAAGCGACCCCAGATTAACCCAAGTGTGTAATGGTGTCTATGGATCAGCATTACATCTGCCATGGCACGGGTTCTATGAAAGTTGTCTGACTCAGAAGCAAAAGCACAATATGACAAAAGACCAAAGGAAAAAAAACAAGCTGCTCAGTCTTCCTTTTCCTTTAATTATTAAATACCCTGGACATTTAAAACTTGACTTGAAGATACTCAGCACTCACACTTAAGATGTGCTTATTATTTGGGTTAAGTGTATCAACAGGATAATTAAAAGTTCTCCTGTTCACTGGCCAAATGACGTCTTGAACTTTGTGCTTTCAAGACTCGCCAAACTCCATTACTGTCTGCAGTGCGCAGACATTTTAAGAACGTACCTCATTTTAAACTGACTCTATGAGTGAAAAAGAAAGTCACTCACTTCCAAGTTCTTAGCAGCACCCTAAGTAGAGTTAAGACACGAAGGCTGAGTGCCAGTTTCACTTTTACAAATACTTTCGATTTGTTCCTCATCGGCATAGATTATTGGACCTTGATTTTCAGCCTTGGTACTAATGAGAGTTTAACAAAACTCAGACGCTCTTTGGTCCTAAATTTGAAAACGAAAACTATTCAGCTGTTGTACAGTTACAAGAGTGACAGACTTGGATTTCAATCTTCTCCCTCTCAGTTACTTTGATAGGAGTTTTTACATTTCATTTATTTGACTAACCAAATAACAGAAGCTCCCTAATTTTAACAGCATCTTGTATTCAAAATATACATTAACACTAAATGCAAGAGAGTAAATACTTTCAGGAAATGATAAGTGAATATTTAGTTCATTATTTAGTTCCTTATGACTGACTAAGGTCAGTTATACATGTGCATAACTGACCACTGCTGTAAGTAGGACTACCACTGCAGACCAGGGATTTCACTGTGTTTAACAATCTTAACTGGATGACAGGAAAGTACATAAAATAAACCTTACTTTATTGAGAGAATTTAAAACTCTTGAACAATAAACAGATATATTTATATTTTAACGGTTCCAAAGAAAATCACTCCTATAGGAGTCGGATCAATTTGGTGTTAATGGCAGAGACTGAAAAGAGCCAAAACACTCCATAGAAAGGCAAATTCAGTAGAACTGCTGGGGTGTATCAAGGTGCCGTATTAAACCATATTCTCAATTTCTTCAGCACTTTTGCATTGCAAATACTTTTAAGTCAAAAAGCGTAAAAAAGATCTGGAGTTGGTTCCAAGTGCTTAACTTGCATTTGGTACCTATTTACTGTAATTCTCAATAAGAGGTTGACAACAATCCCGGCACATGCTTAAAATGAGTGAGTGCACTGACAAGCTCAGATACACCAAGAGACCTGAAAGACCACAGAAAACAAATAAAGTGCATGACTGCATTTTTTCCTTGATTACGATACAACTTCTGACTAACTCAAGAACAATCAGTCTCACTGAAGTCTTTGTCTCACTGAATAGACTTTGTTGACTCTGTCACAAGTATTTATTGATTTATTGAGACTCCTGATAGAAGCAACAGGATGAAATGTGAAGTGTGCAGGGCTATACTATCTCCTCAGATTCAATCAGATGGTGCAATACTGATCGGGCACAGTGCAAATGGAAAATAACCCAAAACATATTGCAAAAGCAACCCAAAGGTTTCTCAAGGCAAAGAAATGGGATATTCTTCAATGGCCAAGTCAGTCGCTTGATCTCAAGTAGAAATTTTGCCCTTCGATCACATCCACGTTAACTTAAAAATCAATTTTGGAGGCAAAATTTTGAAAAATTGTCCAAAAGTGGACCCAACTATCATAAAATCTGGAAGCTAAACAATGACTTTGAAATGAATAAAAATGACTTAAACACTGATTGATACGTTAATCAAAACATAAGACACCTTTAGGCATTCCTCTAACAATAACAACCATGTGCTGGTGAAAGAGTCGCTATAAGTAGGGCTGGACTTTGTTCAGTCATAGCCATGACACAACATGGTAAATGGACCATTTCTTACAGAGAGCTTTTCTACTCTGAGCACTCAAAGCGCTTTACGCAAATTGCCTCATTCACTCAGTCACACCAGCACTGATGCAATGATTTTCAAAATTATTTGTTCAAAATGGACATTGTAGAATATATCTTTTGTGTTTGTTGAGGTAAATCTATAACCTAAGTTGTAAAGGCATCTTGTGTTTCGAGTCCATCCCACTTGTCTACAAATTAATTTTCGGCATGCATGTGAAAGTGTGTAAAGGGGGACAAGCACCAAAAACTAGGTTCAATGGTCCCTTAAGGATTGGAGCTGGGTCGTGCCATTTTTGTAATTGAGCAATTTTAAATTAATTTAGCAAATGTAGACAAGCCCAATAATTAGTCATGTTTAACCCATTTCAGAGTCAACAGACGCTTCAGACCTCAATGATAAAACAAGAATTGTCTATTATTAGTGGTATCTATTATTAATCTACAAATTATTTTCTAGATAAAGTAAATATGCCTAGATTCCCACAACAGCCCAAGAGTTTTGAATGGGTTTCTTCAAATTTGGCCACTTGGACTCTGGGATGAGCTGATAACAATTTGTCTTTGACCATAAACCAGCAATGTAACGCAAAACAGGTTTTTGCTCCTGCCATAATTCAAGAGTTTATTTGCCAATTAAGACAATTTCCTAAAATATCTAATAGAGTACAAAGCTAAAAAAAAAAAAAAGATGACATGATATATCCAGCAGTTCAAAGGCCAACTGGCCATTATTTAAAAACAATAACAGAATGGAAGAGTAGACTGTGATCATATTTCATACTGGATCAGACGCTAAATGCGTGGCACTAATCTTGCCCCCTTCCATAAAATGATGCTAAAGTCTTTACTACTGGGTTGGGCCCCCTTTTGCCTTCAGAACTGCCTTAACTCATCCTGACATAGAATGAACAAGGTGGTGGAAACATTCCTCAGAGATTTTGGTCCTTATTGACCTGAGATTTGTCAGCTGCATATCCATGATCTCAATCTCCTTTTCCACCACATCCAAAGGGTGTTCTATTGGATTGGGATACAGAAACTGTTTGAATACAGTGAGTTCATTCATGTTCAATGCCAATAAAATATCACCCAGACCATTACACTACCAAGCCTGATACAAGGCAGGATGGATCCATAAGTTCATGTTAAAGTCAAATTCTAACTGACAGCTGACTGTTGCAACAGAAAAACACTCAGACAAGGCAATGTTTTTCCAATATTCTGTTAACCAGCTTTGGTGAGTCTATGTGAATCATAGGCTTTCCTGTTCTTTGCTGACAGGAGTGACACGTGGTGCGGTCTTCTGCTGTTGTAGACCATTCAATGATTCTCATCTGCACACCTTGGTTGTACCGAGAGGTTATTTAAGTTTCTGTTGTCTTCTTAACAGTTTGAAACAGTCTGGTCATTCTCCTCTGAACTCAACAAAACATTTTTAGCAATAGTCAAAACTAAATCCCGTTTTGACTATTGAGGTATACACAGCCAAGACCACTAAGCACATGACATTAACTAGTAAGCCATATTGGCTGTATGACAATTGTGATGACTATATAGGCTAAAGTGAATAAGGTCCTAGTCACACAGGCTTAGAGACTGGTCCATGGCAACTAATAGTTATTAAGATAAAAAATGAGAACTCATCAGGTGGCTTAAAGTGGTTGCATGAGGTTGATAGCAGTCGCTGATTAAATGATTGCTAAAAGGCCCACTCTTACAGGCCTAGAATCTAGAACTAGACAGTGACCCTCATTTTTTCACAGGACCCACCTTTTTCTAGGGAACAGATGGGTCATGTACTCCCCAACCAGTTGGCAAAAACATGATTACTTTGATTGGTAGCATACTGCTGCGGTTACCTGTAGTTTGCATAAAAAGGCAGACCTGTCTAAAAATACTCTCCAGCTACTCTCCAACTTGTAGAGAAACTGTAAAAAGTGCAACAGAAGCCATAAATGGAAACCATTTGCTGTCAAAGTAAAAACTGTAGATTTTGAAAAATACCAGTTGCAGTGCAAAGACTCGATGTATAATACCAGCTAATAAACTGGACTCCATCCCGGTCGACTGCTGGACTTTGCCAATAACTCTAACTTTTAACTTTTGTAACTAACTGTAACTTTTATAGACACAATTTCAAGGCATAGTCAAGTGATGGATAGTTTCTGCTTGAGTGGCTTAAAGATGAGATCTTGTGAAGCAGCAGGAATGAGAATTAGCATTTCCAAGTCCGATGCAATGGTTCTCAACCAGAAAAGAATGACAACTCTGAATCAGGGACAAATTGCTGGAAAGTGGATGAGTTTAAGTATCTCAGGATTTTGTTCACTAGTGAGGCGAGAGTTGATTGGGGAAACTAAAATGCGGATTGGGGTCATGTCTACAGCGATGTGGATGCCGTGACAGTCTGTAGTGGTGAAGAGAGAGCTGAGTTTGAAAGCAAAACTGCTGATTTATGTCTCTACCCTCTCCTACGGTCATGAGCTAAAGAATGAGACTGTAGATGAGATGGTAGCAGAAGAAACTAGGTTTCTCCAAAGAGTAGCTGGGCTCTCCTTAGATAAAGATGTGGAGCTCAGTCATTCAGAACAGGTTGAGTAGTAGAGCTGCTACCGGTACTCCTCCACACCACAAGGAGCCAATTGAGGAGGTTCGGGCATCTGACTAAATTACCTCCTCGGCGCTTCCTAAGTATGGTGTTTCAGGCACGTACTACCGAGAGGTTTCAGAGCAACTCAGCCTGGGGGACATAGAGATTATATCTCTGTCCCCCAGGCTGAGCTGAAGGAAGCGGTTGGAGGGAGAGAGGGTCTGGACTTCTCTGCTTAGACAGTTGTTCCTATAAGCAGCAGGGAATGGATATGGATAAATAGATTGATAGATGTATGGATGAAATATTCAGGCACAATATATATATATCAATGTTTTGTTAACTAGAGAGTTTTTATTAGTCACTTATATGAGAGAAACCATCGGTTTCTCCAGTATTTGACCTATCATTAAACAACATCTATACTTGACAGCTTTTAAGAGAAACATATCAAGCCCTTCTCCCACTGAATCAACTCATCTACACTGTTGCTGCTAATGTATTCTCAGTCATCCAATAAGGTTAAATGAGTGTTAATTTCAGAACATTCCCATTATCCGGTTAGCTCTTAATGGACATGAGATACTTGAGGAATGGATTAAAAACTTGCAATCTTCTCATTTGCTGTGTAGCCTGCGTTTCAACATACACGATCCCAGTAGACACAAAGCAATTAGTGGTTTTGAAAGATTATAAGTGATGTTTTAAAAGCCAAGATGATTTCTGAAAAGCCCACTGATGGTCATCCTGAAAACTAGTGAACTTGACTTGGAGAGTTTAGTGGTCAAATCCATCGGGGAAATTAAGCAATTAGCAAGCTTGAAAAAACTGAATACCCATATCCTGTCACTGTATAATAGTTCACAGAGCATCTGTGGTGACACAGTCATATAGAGCACACATCTTCACATATGCACATCTTCCTCTGTTTCACTTGACCACTTGTAATAGAAGTGGTATTTGTGTGCATTAACACACACGCAAATAAATAAATAAATAAACAAACAATCATTGTGAACTGAGAGCCCTGCATATGAGCTGATATACTGAATCAGGTCCAAAAATAAAATGGTTAATTTATCCAGGATTGCTTTAGATGCTCAAGCATATGCCTGCCTATTGTATTTATGAATGCCGCTACTTTCTACAAGGATTAATAAGGTCTATTGTCCTAGGTTAGCCTTGAGCATAACGCATTTCCTATTCATACTCTAATCGGCCTCTCCATGCTCAAACCTTAGATGTTTCTTATAACTCCGGAAAAAGCCACACAGCAGAAAAAAGTCTATACTACCGTCTAAAATCTGTGCTGCTGTTTCTTGTTTTCCTGTCTCTATATAATCATGCTCCATTTCACTTTATATCTTTTTAAAGTAAAGTAAATCCCTCTGAAATACAACAGCCTACCCTTTCACTTTGGGCTGACAAATTTTCACACATTACTGACTAAAGATTAAATAAATACAAGATTATTAGAAACAGCTGCCCTCAAATAGCACACACTTTGTTGTTTAAGGTCACTGACTGCTTATGAATTTGCACAATGAACTTGTGGTGTATTATGAGAGATTAAGGGGCAACAGCAGCACAGTTATTTAACAAGGGTGGTGGCAGTGAGCTCCTTCAAATCCATTTAAGAAGGATTCATGTCATTGTTTTGTTTTAACCAGCAGCCAAAGGTGTAAACTTCTCTCATCCAGTCCCTCTTAAGCATCACTCGGGAGGCAATGTTGCGATCTAAGGGCCTAAATGTACTTTAGACCATTGCCTTCTTGCATTTTCTAAGGAACTAAGTGAGGAGAGCAGCAGATCAGGAAGCGAGGTTTCTGGCACCACTCACCAGGACCACAGTCATCACATCTAATGGGCTTTTTGTTGAAAATCTAATTAAAACCAGGATGGTAAGTAGATGACTTGTTTTCCTCACATTTCTTCAGTATGACTAATGCTGCTTAACAGGATCTGCCCCCTTCTCCCCCATTTACAACCAAACACTGCAAAGACAGTTACGAATGTCATTATTTAGGGTTTTTTTTAAGAATTTAAATAACAATTTAGAATTTTACTATTAAAACCATGATACATTACTCACTGTATTGCACCGAATACTGCTGTTAGTCTGGAAATTTAATATTCCACAATATAATATGCAGGAGCATACCATCACACACAGGTTTACACATATTATAGGACATCAAGTGGCCAAGCTTTCACTCTACATCGATATCTGGGATATAATGATTGCCAGGGTTATGTGTTAAGCTGCAAAACTGTCTTGATTGTGCCCAATAAAGCGCAGACTTTGGCCCAGCCGCACTCTTATAAGCACACCGCCTGGATGGGCTCCTTAAGATCTGGCTGCACAGGTTGTTGTCAAACCTGTAAAGAGCATGGAGGAGTCAATGGAGAGCTAGCGCTCATTTGTTTCCTCGACACTAGCCAGTCACAGTTATTCAAATCAGGTGGTTTTTTTTAATATAGTGGAAGCTATGCAGGCCTTGCTGGGCAGCTTCTCCTCCCTCTGCTGACCTGCCAATCTGTGCACTCGACTCATAACACCGAGATAGTTCTACCCTACCACCCAAACTTCACTCAGGTGGGGAAACCCCATTAACCCCCACTCCCTACAGCCGACAAAGGCATTTTTAGTGAGAGAGGAATGCGGGCTTGGCATTGCTCTCCCCGTCGAGCTTACCGAGAAGCAACAGTTTCAGCTCCCGGCGTGCGTCCCTCTTATCCCGGCGGAGCTGCCTTTCGATCTCGTCGTTGATCCGCCTGGCTTCTTTCGCCTCCTCGCTGAGGCAACACGCCATTATGGATTCCAGGGTCATTCTCTCTCCTTTTGTAAAACTCGCACTCCTTTCCCCTCTTAGTGATTCATCCAGATTTCAGGGGCAGAAGGAAAGAAAGGAAAAGAAAGAAAGAAAAAAAAAACAGGCCTGTGAATGCCAAATAACGTCCTCATACAGGCCTACTGGTGGTGAAATAACGCGTGGACGCCCTTATAGTGAGTCCCAACAGCGCACAGATTGTGGTGGAAAGGAAAATTAGATATTTGAGAAATTATTGACCCCCCCACCCCCTCCCCCTGCTTCGCTTATCTGGGGCCTCCCGACAGCTTCAAAACAACAGTCCAAAGCGGTTTCGGTGGAATATCTGTGCAATCTTAATAGGTGTAATCTGCTTTCCCGTCTCAATATGATCAACAGATCCTTTTAAGACACATCCTCCGTACTGCTCAGTGTGATCTCGTTAAGCATTGTCATCCGAGCCGGGCTACCCTCTCTTCAAAGTCGTCAATGTTGATATTTTTCATTAAACGAAATCCCTCGCGTTCAGGTTACCGTCTGCGGATAAGGGCAACAAGAAAAACGCATGAATAAGGCTGTCCGTTTATTTTCCAATGGCTCGACTCCCGGGCGTGGTAAGGCAGAATATGGCGGACTTTCACTCCAATCCGCTAGGCTGGGATACAGTACAGTTATCTCTCTCGGTGCGCTCAAAAAGCCAAGAAAGCCGCACATAACACAGCATTTCTGCCCGAGCTTTTGATAGAGAGGCGAAAAACCATCCCAGTGCGCCTCAGAAGGGAGCTCAAGTCCACGGTTCACGAGCGGAACGTGAAGAAAGGAATAACAGCCGTGTTGTTGCTTTTCCCCCGGCCAATCTTCTCCTTTTCCTCAATTCTCTTCATGTATTTTTATTGCACAGGCCATCCACTCCTCCGCTGGCAGGGTGACGTCGGCCTCCCATCGACCAAGGGGGAGTGTCACGTCAAACAAACGCCACACAAGTCATTTATACACCAACCTGTGGAATAGAAAATGCGTATGACGGGATATGTTGGGACTTCATACCTCTCTTTTACAGTTTCCATTTCAATCCTGTTTTTTCTTTTCTTTTTTCTTGTGTGTGTGTGTGTGTGTGTGTGCTCTCACTGGGTGGGAGGAGGTCCTTATGGAGAGCCATAGGAAGTACAGTTTATGTTTTAGTGATTGCGTGATGAGCGCCTAGTGGAAGTTAACCTTGCACACTCTGATTGTGTTTCAGTGGACATAATATAGTTACACAGTATACAATCAAACGGCACTGCAGTAAACTCTGAAGGTCATTTTGTGCTATTTCTGGCGAGGCACTGAGGCGTTAACTTAACTTAGCTGTTAGACTCTTTGCTCTTTATGAGCTTCTTTGACACCGTCATTAAAATGCAGTTTTTATTCACATATTTATACCTGTCTAAAACTAATGGTCCGTCACACCATCACTACGCTTTAGAGCGATCTCCAGCTAACCTTTAAGTCAACTGGAGGGTTACATTTGTGTTTTGTTCAATATTGTCTTCTTGTGGTGTGGTGTAATTGTGGTACATTTCTTTTTTCCCAAGCTTTGACTTACAGTCTATCAAAAACATATTGTATACATACTGTAGCATAGAGTATACTCTACTTGAGGGCTGAAAATACTTAATACAAATTTCCTCATTTACACAAAACCTTTTTTTTCTTCCAAGTGCTTTCAATGTAACTTCACACTCCAGTGAACACAACTTGGTCATGCCCATGGATACTTTGGCATGCAGCCTAGAGCAGCCAAGAATCGAACCACCAATCTTCCAATTATTAGCTCTACCTCTTGACCTACAGCCATTATTATGTCAATTCTAGGTCTAATCCCTTGCTAAGAACAATAGTGTCAATCTTAGTCTAAAACTTCACTAAATTCAAAGGAAACCAGGCCTGTCTGCAGTATTTAATGGATTGCATTTATATAGCACTTTTCGACATGTTAGATCCTTCATGTCCACCACTTTGAATATGAAGGATCCCTTCCTGATTTCTTTTTTTTCTTTGCATATTTGTTACACTTGCGTTTTTCAGATCACCAAACAAATTTTAATATTAAATCAAGCCCTTGTGTATATACCTCAAACAATCTGGAGAGTTATGCAGCAGGTGTTATTTTTTCTGTATTTTCATTTGTTATATCCTTTTTCTAATCTTTCTTTGAAGAGAGACCTGGCCAAGAGGATAGTAGAAGCTGTAATAAAAACAACATAAGTAAATAAACAAATTCAGCTGGCATTTAGTAAAGACATATGAAAAGCACACATGTGAATCATGTGCAATTAGACATAAAAAACCAGGAGCACCTTCAAAAGCTGTCACATTGAAAAGAAAAAGAAAAAGCATAGGAAAAAGTGCTTGTATGAATGGGTGTGAATGGGTGAATAAGGCGAGTTGTGTAAAGCACTTTGTGTGCTCACAAAGAGTAGAAAACTGCTTTATAAGAACCAGTCCATTTACCATTTACCATTGAGCAACAAAACTATTCTCTCAATGCTATAAATGAACGATATCTCCAGTAACTGAATTTTGTCATTTAAGTAGCTCCTGAGCATACAGGAGACTTTTTATTATTCTGCCTATGAGAATGGGTTTAGAATTGAGGTCTCAAGCATTACAATGATCAAGATCTTGAGCCTAAATCTCTTTTCTGCATTGTTTCCATTTTACTTCTTAATTTGAGCCATGTAGTCACATGCCACTATCATTATCTAAAACCTTAAAATGGAAAGCATGAGTTTTAGATGGCCGTTTTGCTGAGATTTTGTGACTTTTTAACTGCCTCATAAAAAGAACTGTACAGTACACTCCTAATGCTTTCAGCAATGCGTAACATGGGTGAAGCAAATGGGCCTTGCACCATCAAGTCTGAGTTAGGGATTATAGCAAAGTGAAGCCACCTTATGCGTTTTTAAAATTTTGCCTTACTCTACTAACACATTAAAGCAATTATAGTACATGTGAGCTAAGGAACTTCAAAGGAAGAATTTCTAAGGAAGCTAAGGAATCCTCGAAACATTTTTTAAATATGAAAATACATGTAATAGCAACGTTTGGTTGTGATCTCCGTACATACAAAGATAATGGCTCTTTAGAGAACAAAGTAAGAGAAAAAATATACACATTCATACTAGAAAACTCTTAAACATTGGAGTAACATGGATTATTTGTTATATTGTAAAAGTGTAACTATATTTATACACAATTAAGCCTTTTGCTGCAAGCAAAAAAAAAGTTAGAATTGAGGTCATCTCACATAGGTATTGAGCAGTGTTGATTGTAACCTAACTAAGTGGCCTATTTAGACCGTTTAAATGGGGGCGTGCCAGTGACTCAGTGGTTAATTGCATGTGATGTATTTGTTCAAATCTAGTTTATGAAGCCTCGCTGATCTTATCTTTTCTCACTGCAACTGGGAAAGAAAGGACTGAAGAAGAACCTGAATAAAAGATGTAAAAAGGAGAACTGTTTCAAGTAGTAGAATTAATGTTATGTGTCCAGAGACCTGTCTGAGGTGTCCCAGATTTGCAGCTTGGGGAGTTTATTCAGCCTGTGCCTATAATAAATGTCTACAAACCGGCCCTCTAAAGGGAGAGTCATCCACAGGTCAGTGACTTTCTAACCTGTCAAGTTTAATTGATTTTAATGAGGAGATTTCACTTAAAACAAACCATGTTCCATGCTGCCAAACCATAATGCTTCACCAGTGTTAATTCCTCCACTAAAAACATGCAAACTTGTATTTTGGATGGAATTTTGTTTTTTGTTTGTTTGTTTTTTTTTTGGGGGGGGGGGGGACTGAGAGGAGTCGTATGCTGTCGCTAGTTAAGTGTATGTTATATACACTTTATAATATCTTCATTTAGGATTTGCAATTCAACCAATGCCTCTGGGGATATATGGGGAAAAGAATAAGAAAAAAGCCATCTTTGCTTTTGCTTTAATGTGAAAATAAAATTATTAGGGTCCACCATAGGTCTATACCACTGTAGTTTAAGTCCTGGTTTTGGAAAAGAAAATGTTCCCTCTAGGCAGTGTTTTGCATTTTTTGGTGCACATGATGAGCTTGGGCAATGGATACACTGCAGTGAGCAAAGAGGATTTTAGTAAGCTACCCTGTGGTGAACTATACCCAAAAGCCAGTACATTCACCTGGATTACTCCTGAAAAAACAAACATTCCTAAAAAAATTGTGTTTTTTGTGTTCATTTGTGTTCACGTTTGTCCAGTTATAGAGCAAACAGTGAACAGGCTTTTATTTTTGTAAGTTTCCGGTTACTTCCTTCTGTTTCTCACGTGACCGCGTCCTCGCCTGGTTACGAGAAAGCGTCGCTCCCTGGTCGCTACGGAGGGAGGGATGGGTGTTTTGTAGTTAAAAAGACACTTTTGTGCACTTTCCCACGCAGTTAGGATAGCGGTCTGTCATGGCAGTGTGTGGGAAACGGTTCGCTTTTGTTAAAATAACAACTTTTCCAAGCTTTAACGCGTGCCCGTCTATGTTCTACTGCCACTAATGCATTGATCTTTCTTAGAATGACAGATAAAGATTAGTTAGCATGCTAGCAAGCTAGCTCCTCAGCCTCTGCATCACCCAGCGACGACACCTGCCAGTGACAGGTAAGAAACCCTGCTTCTGTGCACTACAAGTGTGCGCGAGTCATCATCCATTTTTCAGCTTTATTAACTACGGTTAAAATCCACCGAGTACCGTTGCATAATGATCGCCAGCAAAGTTCTTAGCAGGTGTTTTCCAGTGACTAATACCTTGTGACAGTAATGATGCCGCTGTAATAGGATTTGAGCCCTCTCCTTCCTGTCGCTTGTTTGTGGAGTGGAGTACACCGGGATAACGAGGGTGGGGCGTAGCTGTGCGTGTGTGAGAAAGTACTGTTTGTATTCTGTTTGCTGAATGATTTCCACCAAAATGTCACACAAGGCTTCTAACTCACTAAAAACAGACAAAGTAGTTAGTTGTTGTTGTTCTTTTAGCTGCAAGAGAAGCACAGAAAGTGTGTGCCTAATGTAGCTATTGCATTAAGCACTGCTCTGGGATAGACAATCACTAAGTGAACTGTAGGGTTGTAGTGAAGTCCGAGTAGTTATCCCTCATCGTTACTACCACAACATGCGCGTTTAGTTGTTATGAAGCGTGATTTTTCAGTTTGATGGCATTTCTTTGTGTTTGACAGTGTGACTGCAGGTTCCTAGGCAGACATGGGCAAACTACAGAGCAAGTTCCGCAAGAGGTCTGAGCTCTACAGGTGAGACTTGTGCTAGGCCTTCTCTCTCTGTGTGTGTGTGTCTGTATTATATATATTATTACATATTAAAGTTTTTGCAATTTTATGTATGTGTGTATTTTTATGTGTGTGTGTGTGTGTGTGTGTGTGTGTACAGGGCATCTCAGGCAGAGAAGACAGATAATACCTTTGACAGTCAGGTGGTGCAGTATGAGCCTGCACATCATGGGTCCATTAACACAGTGACCACTCTCAGTCCAGACCTGTGTGTTTCTGGCGGGAGTGACCAGGTAAAGCCAAAAATTGAACTGTTGTACTGATTATTAAGTCTCTTTAAATATTATAAATGTTCAAGCCACAAATTGAACTTTATCATGGTTTTAAGTGATTTTAAATCATAGAGCTCACAGAGTAAAATGCCCAATTCAAAAAAGACTCACAGTATTGGATCTAAGGTATGATACAGGTTATATTAGAAACCCATGAATTAAGGGTATAGATTTTGTGAAAACTACACTTAAACATGGTGTGATTAGCATCTCTACCTCTGTAGGCTGTGGTGGTGTATGACTGGAAACAAGGCCGGATGTGTCAGTCTTTCCAGGGCCACAACCGAGAGGTTACCAAGGTAACATCAATACCGTGTGCGCACAAACTGATAAAGGAATGACGCCTTAAACGTGTGACACATTTCACGTTCCCCAGTCTCCTCTTATCTCCTGTGAATTCTGTC